TTAAATAATAATGATTTTTGAATTTATTTGTATTTTTATTTCAAATTATTAATAAATGAATTGAGTTTTTAAGATATAATAAGTATTACAAGAGAAAGTATTTAATTTTAATTTTGATTGTAAATTATAAAGTTATTAAAGTTTTATTGTGAGAAATATTAATCTTTATTGTAAATTAGAAGAGCTTCGCTCATTTTTTTTAAATATTGATCATGTGATAATAAATTATATTGACCAATTATATATTATTGATCGACAACCAATAAAAACAAGCTTTCCCTATGCTGGTTTTGATACACTTTTTTTATTATTTATTTTTACGTTTAATAAAATTTAATAATTATTTAACTCAAAGGCAGGATCATATCCAGGAGATGAATTTCGACATAGATCTGAAGAAATGAACATACCTGGTGTTAAATAACATCTATTAGCAGTGTATTTTATTTTATTTTTTTCATCTTTGAATATTATTCTATTATATAATAATATGGTCCCTGTTAGTCTCTCAAGATGAAAATATAAATTTTCAACATGATATTGATTTCCAAAATATTAATAACGACTCTTTGATTAATGATATCTTTCTTCATGAATTTTGAAATTGAATATTTTAATTCATTTTTTTTTTTTTTTGCATTAATAAACAAGATAAAAAATAATAATAAGAATACTTTTACACATACCAAATTTTCCGGAAACCCTAGTCTATACTGATTTTTGCTTTCTCCGGTAAATTGTCTAGAAAATCAAATAAGATCTCTTGTGGCAAATATCTAAATCCCGATGTTTTAGAAACTGGGCCAAAATTTCTATTAATAAATCTCATTGCCCGTTTTTTTAAAGCGTGTGCACCGGCCACAGAAGCACTATGATAAATTTTAGCTACGTTCTCTATGTCGAACTTTGACTGCAAATGTGCACAGCAGAGTGACGTCAGTCGTGAAATTAGATACATATTACCCAAAACCATTAGATCGGCGACGGTATCGACGGAAAGTTCTGAATCAAGAGTGTCCGTGTAAAGGAATGAAATAAAGGCCAGAACAGTCGGATATGGTTCCGGAATAGTTAAAGATGAGGTGTGGGATTCCGTCATTCCAGAATTAACCATGTTAGAAAAGTGTGACCATCGAGCAAGTAATATGATTTTGTGAACGTAAATTACAGGAGATGATTCGTCATTGGATCGAATAGTGAAATCGGATGAAGTACCATCATTCATCAATTGTTGAAAGTCAAAACCTATAGACGGAGGGGGAACGCGAGTCATTCCATATTCTTGAAGGTCAATTGTGAGTACAGTTGAAAAATACTCATCGGATTCCCTTTCATCGACACCAAAGAGGAAAAAACGGGAGCTATTTTCTGCCATTGCAAAATAATGCCAATTTCCCTGAATAAATCGATCACCATCTTCAAATTTATGCCAATGAAAGGTATCCAAATCTAACGTCCAAATACCAATTGATACTTCTTGTGCCCCGTGTTTGATACATCTCGTGACAACCACAACCAACTGGTTACCATACATTTGAGTAAAATGTTCTCCCGCATTCATTTCGGGACAAGAATCGCTAGTAATTTCTATTTTAGAAACATTTTTTGTAATTAGATCCATGATTACAAGTGATTTTTCACGATCCATATCTTCATTATATCCACCATAAAGGTATAATCGATTTCGATAAATGAAAGACACATGCGAATGTCTTGGAACCAAATTAATGGGATTTTCCCAAGTCCAATTAAGTAAATTTAGACAATTAACCTCAGTGGATACCAATGATTGATCATTATCATCTATAGAATTACCGCCTACTATATAAAGTTTATCTTGATAAATTGTTGCGGAATGTTTTGCCCGACCTTTAGGACGAAAACCGGATATTTCCGGTCTCTCCCACGTCATTGAATTTAAATCTAGAATAATCAAATCATCACAATATTGATCTTCTTCGTCCGTACCTCCAAAGATAATAAGTTTATCTTGATTCCACAAAGAAGCTGAATGGTTGAGTCGTTTTGATGGACTTTTACCTTTCAAGTAGATCATGGATTCCCATCTCATTTCAGCGACGTTCAATCTATATAGATCATTATAAACTTCATCAGTGTACATATGAAACCCCCCAAAAATATAGACGTGTTCAGGAAGTTGAGTATCGTCTTTGAAATTTGGAACTACTGTTGCTGTAGCGTTTACTAAACAACTTAAAGAAATACCAGTAGTCTTAGTTGGATACGGATTCGAAGGTATAAATGACGACGATCGTCGCAAATCGAAGTTAGGTGTCGTAGCAAGAGTTGACGAAGACGACGATGGAGAAGTAGTATCTGAAGGGGAGACGGAAACTGACATCATTTTTATTGACTTTTATTGGACTCTAAAATTAATGTTTAAGCGATTTGCGAAAAGTATCAATTTTGAGAACAAAATAAAGTTTTTCTATCGGTGTTTGTTTCTAATGGAAATAAAAAAAAAAAAAAAAAAAATTATTTCGAAAAAGTTTTTCAAATAATAGTAGCACAAAGTTACAAAGTTTACATAGTTTACATCCGAATATTTTGCTCGGAGATTGACATCACATGACCGTACAACAATTCAAATTATTATTATTATTATCTATAATAAGTAATATCCATCTTGCAATCTTTTTTTAATGACGATTTCTTTGTTGCGAAGAAACACTCTATAAAGTCATTTCATCTACAAAAATTCAAAATGAATTTAAGTGGTGACCAATAAAAGGTAGAATTCTGTAATTCTTTTCAAAGATCTTCGTTAATAATGAGTTCTGTCAGGTGATAGTAGTTGTAGTGCAGAATGTTGGCAAGTGACCTAAATGGTCTCAACTTTGGTCATTTGTTATTTCAAATGATAAATTATTTATATTGTAAATCTCATAATATCAATTATTTTTTAGACACAAAAGTAAGATTAAATTTTATTTAACGGAATTGTATTCAAAAGTGCAATCCAATTTTTTGATGGAGTAATCCTAAGAGGTAGTATTCAAAAGTAACAATTATACAAGAAAGAGTTCTAGGATTACAAAACATAACATACTTTTAGTAGCAAAGATAAGAATAATTTTGCTTTTAAGTACTACCAAATAGATACCATTTTGTACTATGTACCTAATCCATGAAATGGTAGATTAATTAACTATGGTAATAGAATAAGAATGAAATAAGTAGATTGTTAAATTGGCACAAGAAAGTAATCAAAAAGTCAAAGAAAGCCAAAAAAAAAATATATAATATATATACATTGATATATTACTATTCTAATTTTTTTTCTAAGTGTTTCATTCAAATGAAAACCATATTTATATCTCATATCTCATATCTATAAATTATTTGACTTATCAATTATAAATCTTCAAAAATTCTGATTAAAAAAATTATCCGTTTTAAAAAAATTTATATGCATTCTGCAAACTTTGCAGACCGTGACCAGTGAAACATTAATCTTAATATATGTATTTTTTATCCTTTAAAGAATAAAAAAGATATTTACAATGCATCAGATTCTTTGAGAAATCTTTGTACTAAAACATTTGGTTCAATAATTATTACCATTAAATATTTTTAAATAATCTTATATAATGATAATGATGGATGGAAACCATTTAGTAAGTATTTAATATTATTTATTAATAATATTATTTTATTATTAATATTATTTATTATTTATTATTTATTAAATTTTATTTATTAATATTATTTATTAATATTATTTATTAATATTATTTATTAATATTATTTAATTATTTATTAATATTATTTATAAGAATTATTTGTTGAAAAAAAAAAAAAATAATTGAAATTGTTCTTAATGAATTTTACTATAATTTGACAATAATCTCATCTCATCCCCATTTTTGTAAATACCGCAAGAATTCCCAACTAAATTTTCGTATCACAACTTTTTTTCATTCCTATGTCTTATTTGGTAACTGCAAAAAAGGTTTACACAAAATTAATGTGCAACTCAATTTTAAATATAAATCAGACCAAAGTGAGGCTTTTGTCCATTTCGCAATTTCTCTAAATTAAATTTCATAAATATGCCACAAAAAAATATAGGCAGTCCAACGCCAGAATGTTTGGTAGTAGTTGTTCTTGATGGAACATATCGACTTGAAGAACATTTTGAAACTTTACACAAGGCATATCTGGAGCAAATATTAAAGTAAGGATTTAGGCGGCTGACTTAATATAAAAGATTCCAGTTTTCATTAAGTTTTAAAAAATTATTTTTTATATATTGTTAAAGCGTTACACTATTTAAAAATCACTTAACATAACCTAATATCTCAAAAAAATTAGACATTTAAAAGCTCCATATAAGGAACAAGAGGAGAAAGAAACGAAAATAATTTTGGTAGGAAAATTAAAAAATTTTTTATTTATAGAGGGGTTATTGGATTAATAAATTTAAAATAAATAAATGGTTTCGATTCTTTTTGTTTTCAAATTACAAAGCCCGTTTTGAGATGTGGTCTCGTGGTATTTGGGAATTATGAAGCTTATTCCCCTTACCCCTTCAAATCCCATTATTTTGAAAATTTGACTCAGTTCGAGGAGCTAATAAACGAAACTGAATTCACTGATGGAGGAACTTATGAGAATGCTGTTTCAGAAGGCTTGGTTGCTGCACTTGAAGTATTTGAATAATCCTTTTCTTTTTTTGTTAAACTCATATCATCGATTTTTTTCAAAAAACTAATTTTATCTATTTTTTACAAGATGTTCGATTTACATTCATCGCAAATAGATCCCGATGCATCACAACCGAAAAAGCATTGCATTCTTGTGACAAATAGTCACCCTTGTCCGGATCCCGTCCATCGTAACATGAATGGCAAATACGACGAATATACGTTTGAGCAAATAACTGAAGAAATGCAAAAAGTAATGTTTATACTTAAATATTAATGTAATTAGATTTTATTAGATATTGATTTTTTTTTTTTTGGTATTAAATTAAATCTTTCTTATTTTCTCAGCAATCTATTCATCTTTCATTAATCACTCCCGAAAAAGGATTTGATGAGCTAGAAAATTTGGTTAAATTAGTAAGTATAATTATTTATATTTTTTTTTTACTCCGACTATTAATTAAACGTGACATATATTGCATTTAAAAAAAACACAGGTAAATCGAGATGTCGAAGTTCACGAAGCATCCGATGTCGTCAAACCTTCACATGTAGTGAAATTGGCAAATTTTAAAGTAACATTTTCACAACCAGCCGAAGGTTAGTTACATAAGTTTTATAATGAATTGCCTTTTCTTATCCCATAAATTTGATTTAAATTTACAACATTTTGTTGACAATTAAAAGTAGTGACTGATAAAAAGAGGAAGCGCGAAGATTCTACATCTGCAAATGATGTACATAACAAAGATCAACCAGCGCCCGCAGGTTCTGCAAGTTCTTCACCTGAAAGTAAAAAAGTAAAGCTTAATAATAATAATACCATACATGACCAATTATCTATGGTCAAAAATGAAATTTATGATGTTAGCAAGAATATTATAGAAAAAGAAATGGTTATAGATGAACAATCAAAAGAACAGGAACAATCTCAACCATTAGAATCATTTAAGGAACCTTCAGTCCAATCAGTCCAATCAGTTCAATTAGTTCAACCAGTTCAACCCATCCAACCCATTCAACCAGTTCAGCCAGTTCAACCAGTTCAACCAGTTCAACCAGTTCAACCAGTTCAATCAGTTCAATCAGTTCAATCAGTCCAACCTAATAGTTCGCCACAAGTGCCACAAGTGCCACAAGTTCCACAAGTTCCACTAGTTAATAGTTCTCCGATTACACGACTTTCCACTGTAGCATCACCGATAAATAATATTCCTCCTCAAGGGGTATCCACTCCTTCGGCAATGGCTAACCATATTTTACCACAAACAAAAATTCCTCAGCAGCCCCCACATAGCATGCCACAATTGCCAATTCAACAACCTGTTCCGGCCACCGTGCGACCTATAACTGCTACACCTGCAATGATTAAAAGTCTTTCTCAAATGACTCCAGCAGCTCAACGTACTATGTTAGCAGCCTTACAAAATAATGGTGCACAAGGACCCGGACAAATTTTCCGTAATCCAACCAATCAAAATGCACAAATCCTCCGCCTACAGCAGGAATTGGTGAATCAACAAAATCTTATGAGACGTCAACAGCAACAATTATCTCAATTAGGAGTGATTAGACAGCCTATAGGAAATTTTGTGGCTCCTTCTCCACCGATCGGTTCTGATGCGCAAACCATTTTCAATAGTCCACCTACTGCATCAACAGTTGGGTTCACTACAACTACAACATCGCCAGTTACTGGATTTACACCTACGACATTAGGTCTTGGAACAGGTGTTCCTACTACGAATGTTGCACAAGTAGATCATAATAATATTGGAATAAGAGGCCACATGCATCAAAAGACTATTAATGCTTTATGGAGTGGACACATTGCGTGGTCAGCGAACTCCCAAGGCGGTCAAAAGCGTGAACTAAGTTGCCACGTGACGGCATTTCCTGTCCCACAGAAAAAGACAGTTCCTTTATCGTTAAGTGATTAGTAAGTAATTCAAAAATAATTCTTTCATTAAATGCTCATTAAAAAATTTATTTATCGACAATTAATTAATTAATTAATTAATTAAACTTTTTATTATAACTATCGTTAACTTTAGTATGACAAATCTTTGGCCAGAAAGGATGGAAATTTCTAATACAAATCTAGTTAGAGATTTATTCAAAGATATTCCAAAGAATCCAAGTACATTAGTTGTATCATTTTTGCCTACACCTACTACAGCATCACCAGAAAATCAAGATACTTTTTTAATATTGTTGCGACTTTTGGAAAGTAGAAAACTTGCCGCATTCATACGATTTCCTAGTGCCCCTAATCCTAACGGTGGATTGGTTTTATTTTCAAATGGACCTAAAATTATTGGTGTACTTTTCATGAATTCACCGTTGCCTACAAATGCACCACAATTACAACCACAACGACAACCACAACAAAATCAACAAACTCAACCAACACCCCAAACTCAACAACATGCTCAACCAATGCAAGCTCAGATTCAAGCACAATCTCAACAGATTGCTCAGATGCAACAATTAATGTTGCTACGCCAACAACAGCTACAGCAAGCTCAACAAGCTCAGCAACAACCACTTCAAGCACAACAACAAATTTTGCAACAACAACAACAAACATGGCACGCATTACAAGCGTTACAACAAGGATTGCCACAAAATTTGCAAGGCTTGCGGGGTCTGCCACAACAGTTGCACCAAAGACAAATTAATCCTCAAATGCCAACAACGATATTGCGACCACAATCAGCAGCAGTTGCTCAACAAATGCTTCGTCAGAGAAATTTGCAATTACAATCTATTTTACAGACAGCACCAAATGTTAATCCAGGTTTGTATTTTTTTTTTTTTTTTAATAATAATAAGAATTAGTTGGAGTGCTTCTTTATTTGAATATTTTGAATCTAATATATATATTATATATATTATATTAAATGTTTAATTTTTCTCTAGGAATGGGTGGTCAAGATATGTTGACTATTGTTAGACAACAACAGCAACGACAAGCAGCTCAACAACAACAACAACAACAACCTACTCAATAATGAGTTTGTGCCGTTTGCTTCGTTTGTATCATTTGTATGAATCTGTATTATTAAAAAAATTATAATATCTAACAATTTCATTTAAACTTTAAACTTTACACAAGTCTTCTTTTTTTTTAAAAAAAAAAGGGGGGGAAAAAATAGGGAATTAATGATTGTAATGATTGGTATATTAGTAACAAAAAATTCCTAGATAAATCCATTTTTTTATCTATAATAATAACTTAACTTTTAATTACTTAATTGTCATTATGTATTATATATCATTATTAAATGTATGTATTAACATATCTAATATGTGACAAAAAAAAAAAAACTTGATCATTATTATTACTATCCAATATAAAAGTACAAAAAAGATAATAATAATTCGATCATTATTATTAACATGTAACTGTAATGTAAAAGTTTTTATTTTTATTAAAAATAAATATAATTGCGTTTTGGAATATGAGATTTTATTTATTAATTATGCTATTCAAATATAACAGTACATAAAATAAGATTTGTTGATTAATTAACATTTCAACTAATTTATCTTTTTAATAATAAATGGAAAGGAAAAACTGCAAATATTAAGTTGGTATAATTTCACTTTTTTCAATATCATTTCTTTATATCCAATACTTTTCATCAAATTGTCAATCTTTTTCCATCTGGCATCTAATCTTTTCTATATCCCCCTTAATATTTTTGAAATGATCTTACTAAGATTATAGTTGAAGAGTATACAGAGATCCCATTAAGTTTAACATCACCAAAATAATCATAAATTATTATAAATTATCAAAAATCTTCTTTGTTCATCTTAAGGAAGTCATGACCAATAATCTCTCGGTTGCACAAAATCTCGAATTTCGTTTTTTTGTAAAAACTCAATGAGTTCCTATGCATTCTTTTCTTCAACCGAATTACTTTAATCAGGGTGAGATTGATGTTTGTTGTTTATTAATACCTTATGAAGATAATGAGTTTTTCATTAGAATTTGTGCTTATAACTCCAAACCTTCTTCATCCATCTGTTCATCCTTATCTAAAGAACGTTTTTGAATATCGTTAACAAATTGTTTCTGAAATACATCAAACTTATGTAACTGTTGTCTAACTTGGTATATTCGATTTTTTTCCTTATGCACTTTCTTCATTGGTGACAGTCCAATTCTTGGCAAAACAGAAATAAATCATTTAATTACAAGAGTTTTCAACAACTAAAATGTGCAAAGGGAGTTTTGGTCCATGTTCTTGATCATGAAAAGGTCTATGTCCTGTTGTAAATTGCTCATAATCATTCCGAAACTATAAATACCTGTTGCAAATGAATATGGTTCACCCTTGAAAAGTTCTGGAGTTACAGGCTAATAACCTTCCACATTTGAACCAAGAGTTCAGGGTTACACTAAAATTAATAGTTTTAGCTCCCTCCCAAGGAAATAAAAAGAAGTTCGAGCCAAGAGCTCACCACATTCGAACCAAGAGTTGAGGTTACCGCTCTAAACTAAGAGTTTAAGCCCTTCTAATTCCTTACTATGAACTAAATCTATACTTCCAATTATTAAGTATTCCTTGAGTTTTCGTTCTACGTTTTACAACAGATTCATCTGCCACCTTCATAAGAAATTTTATCATTATCACATGAGTTTGCGTTCAAGGCGCAGTAATATTATAAAACCAGAGGTCCTGTTAAAGAGATAAAGATAAAACAAAAAGTACATCAACTAAGTTTCATATATTATAGAAGAGCAATGGTTATTTTTTGATACTTTATTTTTGAGAAAACCCCAAATATAAGGAAAAAATTCCAAAATTTTATAAATATCCAAGGTATTATTATGATCACAATATACTATATAGAGATTAGAGATTTGATAAAAAAAAAAAAACCTGAATTTAAAGTTATCAATTAGATCACAATTACGTAATTACATAACTAACCAAAATTGATTTATTAAAATATTATTATAATATTAAAAAAAATAATTTTATTTTCCAATAGTTGGAGATCATTAAAATTGATAATGAGTTTATGAAAAAATATAAAGAAGAAATTCTCTTACTTAACTGGAAAGCTATAAATAAATATACCAGTTATTGTATCCTATACGAAACCATCATCGAATCAGTTTGTATGAAACCTTATATCTGTAATGTATTTCATCTAGATTTGAATAATAAATAAAAAATAAATAAAATAGAGATTTTTGTGTTTTATGCATGCAAATAAACTTTATTAATTTAACAATAATACAAATTAGTATATGCTCTACACTAATATTTACTAATATTTGCTTAACTTAAATGTTTCAATACCTCCCAAAAGGTTTTAAAGGGTTTTGGGAGATATCCACATCACCTAAAAACCTAGAATTATTGCGTCCCGGAACAATTACCCCCCCGAATTTCGTCTGTTAATATTTAACTAAAATCTTTTCAGGTTTAGATTTTATTTTTACATACAGTTTCCATTGTGTATCAAAAGGATCCACCAATTTTTTTTTTGTAACATTAACATATTTTTAATTTAAGTAAATCTTATTTTTATAATTTTTATTTATTTTTATTTATTTTTTTTTGAATATCCAAAGATTAACCTATTAAGACCTTTAAGCATTCCAATTTAATTGTTGATTAGTTGATATTTTTATTCGTTTGAAAATAATTTTAGTTAGTTCGACATAGATGTCTTATTGTTCAATAATAAATTTAATTAGGGAATGAAATTCCATAAACATACGTTTTTTTTAAAACGAAATTAAGTCCTTAATGGTTTCACTTAATTAGGAACAATGTATATAGAATTTACTGTAAGGATATCAAATATGGTTAATAATATATTTCATGCACATGAATTTAATAAATTCCGCACTTTTTTTTAAAGTTCATTAAATAATATTTTTATTTTTTTCTTTTTCAAAATTTTTGAATAAAATTCTTTTCTACATCAACAAATTCGAAATATATGGCGTTAAAGGTTTTATTATATGCAACGAATTGTAGATTAAATCTTATCAAAAGTATTAAATGTTTAACAAAGTTTATTTCAAATTTGTCAATATTTTTTATAGTTTGAACTTGAACAATGGGGGGCTGCGGTTAAAGCTTACGATGAACAAGATTTCAACTTGGCAATAGAAACATTCGAGGTAGAGTAAAAAAAGAAATTTAGATCTCAGTTAACAACCATACCGAAAAGTTATCTTAATTACTTTAGTTATGTTTAGATTATGCTGATTATCAAAAAAAAATATTATTACTTCTAGAGTATAGCGGATTCCGCCAAATTTCATTTTAACATGGGTCTCATTTATGCCACTCTCGGTGAACATGAAGAAGCAGTAAGTTTCATTTAAACTAAAAAAAAAAAGCCCCATAATATGGCTTTATTTTAATTAATGGAGATTCACAATTAACATTTTTTTATTAAACATTTTCATATTAAAAAAAGTGTCGATCTTACAAAAAATCAGTTAAATTAGATCTATATTTTGCAGTATCGTATTTTCAAAAAGGAGTATCACATTTTCTCTTAGGTGAATTCGAAAAAGCATTGGCAAATTTTAATGATGCATTATTGGTAATTTTTTTTTAATTCATTTTTAGATATTTTAAATAATTATTCTTAAAAAAAAATATTTTAAAATTCACTTTTTATACTTTTTAATAATAATAATAATAATAAGAATAATAATAATAATAATAATAATGATAATAATAATAATAATAACAACAACAATAATTCTCTTAAAAATTTAATAGTATCTTCGAGGGAATATGCTTATCGATTATGAACAGTTGGGTCTTAAATTCCGGCTGTATTCTTGTGAAGTGTTATTTAATCGTGGATTATGTTATTTATACCTTGGCAAAACAGAACAGGGAATGGGTGATTTCGCTTATGCATCAAAAGAGAAGCAAACCGAAGAACATAATGTTATCGATGAAGCAATTCAAGTTCAAGGACAGGTATAAATTTGAAAGAGTAATTAGTTTTTAAAACAATTAATTTTTTTAATTAAAATTCTTTCATTTTTTTTTTCATGTTATTTCATGTTAATCATTTTAATTATTTCTATATAGGGTTTCACAGTTTTTTCTATACCTGTAGGTGTAATCTATAGACCACCTGAAGGAAAACTTAAAAATGTAAAAACAAAAGATTATTTGGGTAAAGCAAAATTGGTTGCTGCGGTGGATCCGGAGGATGCATATACAGGTTTTACGGGTGCTCAACAACGAAAGGTATGAATGTAAAAAAAGATTTCTCAAATATTTTAAAAATAGATCAAATACTTACATAGTGATATATATATATTTATATACTTATATATATTATTTACAGAAAGCACAAATGAATACTACCACCCCAATAACAAATGCTAAGACTGATGGTACAGTGGATATTATTCGGCGACCAGAATCCCCTACTGACAACGTTCGACCAAAATCGTTATCTACAAATCCAAAATTATCACCATTTCCTGTTCGTTCAGTAAGAAATTCCAGTGTGATGAAAAGAAATCCTTCAGAAACTACATCTAATAAAAATAAAAATAATAATAATAATAATAATTTTCAAAATAATTTTCAAAATAATAATTCAAATGAACTATTAAATGTACCTCTACCTCAAAATTCCCTAAATTTAGAAGGAATTTCAAAGAATCGTCCTATACAAAATGATCCTAATATGTTTTCTAGAAATGCTTCAATGAGACGTTTACCAAATCATTTAAATCTTAATCGTGCCAATACCATAAACACCATAGAAAATGGTCGTCCCTTACGTGTTCCCAGAGAAGGACTTTCAAGATCAAATTCCCTTTCAACTATTTCAACTATTTCATCTAGACTTACTCCTCAATCACGTGGAATAAGCGAGAGACCTTCAACTCCACAAAGATCAAATACCTTAAATACGGTAGCACGTACACAATTCTTGCAACAACAAATACAAATCATGAAGATCTCTGAAGGCGATTATTATAATAATAATAATAAAAATAATGAAGAAGATTATAATCAAACGTATGATTTGACGTTAAGAAATGATAATTATTATAATGAAAATAGTAATGGATTACAACCTAAAACTAATGTTTTATATGATAATAATAATAATAATAATTATAATAATGATAATAATAGAATTCCACCTGAACAAAGTGTTATCGCACTTTCAAGAGGAGCAGGTTTAAAATCTCCATTACAAGGTGGGCAAAGAACTCCCCCTACTCCTGATAGTTCTGAAGGTCATTACGCTAACATTATTTTTGATAATGATGATTATGGTGGATATGTAGAAGATGATGATACTCAATTTGAAATGATTCCTCCACCACAAAATGTTTATTCTCCTCCACCTATCGAATTACCAATTACTAAGGTATTGTCATTATATATAAATATTATCTTTGATTTTTTTTTTTTATAATTAAGAATTAATTAAATTATTTTTATCTCAATTTTCTCAATTTTTCTAAATTTAGATAAAAATTAAAGTCTATGGTAAAGAAAATGATACTCGTGTAATTTTGGTACCAGTTGATATAGCATTTTCAGATTTTATGAAACGAGTGCAAGGAAAATTTTCTTCGAATAATCCATTAAAACTTAAGTATAAAGATGAAGATGGTACAATGGTTAGTATAACAGATCAAGAAGATTTAGAAATAGCCATTTCAATGATACCTAGAAGCGCAAGTGAAATAGGCAAAATGGAGGTAAATAATAAAATTATGAAAAAAAAAAGATATTAAAAATAAATTAAATATATTTTACGCATGATTTTTTTTTTTTCAACTAATAATTAATTTTATAAATAGATCTGGATGATGGCATAATAAGACGAAATTATTGTTTAGCAAGAAAATTATTTTGAGGATGGCGCTGGGTCGCTGACTTAAAATTTAATTTATACATTTTTTAGTTTAGTCAACCTTGTTGTGTTTTTTTTTTGTTATTTTTCATCAATTCTTTTTTTTTTTTTTTTTCGCATTCACGTTTTTCTATTTTTTGAAATTTATGTAATTAATTTATTTAATTTAATTAATTTATTTAAGATTTTTTATCATCTTTTTGTCATTTTTTTGTCATTTTTTTTTGTCATTTTTTGTCATAGTAAAGAAATTCTTTTCTTTGATTTATAAATATGTATTTAATTTTTTTTTTGTTTATAATATAGACTAGCATCATTAAAAAAAATTATATTCATCCATATTCAAATTGGAAAGGATTTGGAAAGTTTTTATTATCAAATTGTCAACACCTCAAAATGACTAACATTGAGAAAGATCGGTAAAATTTTTTCTGACGTTTATACAAATTAGGTTAAAAATAAAGAAAAGAAATAACGAAATTTTTTATTAAATTATTTTACAACAAAAATTCCTATTTTGATTATTTATTTGACTGCTTCTATTCTACTATATTATATTATAACTAAAAACAATATACCACATAATCAAGAATAGATCTCTGCATTAGATTTACATTTAGATTCCTTTCTGCATTTTCTCCTCCTCAAGAAGTGATAAACCGGTTTCTTGTTTTCTTATTAGGGTGACGCGATTGGAATTTTTTTTAGTAATAGTTAAATTGGGTCCTTCCTCCAACTCTTTTTTTTTTTTTTTTTTTTTTTTTTTTTTTTCTTTTTTGGTATCTTGAAGAAATCAATTTTCAATATTAGTAGTCAATTTATAATCTCTTAACGTCAATTCGACGTACCTTAAAAAGAATCGAAATTTCAACAAACAAAAAAAAAAAATTGACCAAATTGACGCTATCTCACAAATTAAAATAATTTTTTAAAATCCCAAGAGAAAATATAAATTTGAACTACAAACCGACCCATCCATTTTTTGAATTTTATTTTTTTGCATAAGTGATCTTGAGCTTGTGATCTGGCGTTATAGGATGATTTGATAAAGCTTCCTTTGCTATCATGGCTTGAGGTTCGTTATCATATTCTACAAATGCAATACCCTTTGCTGGATGAATAGATCGAACTTCTTTAAAACCAGGATATCTATTTTTTTTTTTAAAAAAAATAATTTAAAATTTATAATAAAGGAATATTTTTATCCCAGTTTATAATCTAATAATGAGTATAAATAATCACTTACTGTTCAAATAATGCAATAAGAGTAGATGCAGTAATGTCATTTGGTAAGTTCTGTAGGAAGAGAATATTATTGGGGGGAAGATATTCGTCGGGGATATTCCCTGTCGCAGGAACTTGATGTCCAAAATGGAACAATTGAGCTAAAAAAAAAAAAAAAATCATGCCTTAGAATATTTAATAATAATTTTTAATAAAATTTTTAAAAAATTTTGATTTACCTCCAGAAGTATTTGATGCACCCATTGGATAAATTTGTGTATTATTGGATTTGAATTTCTTTGCGGGAGGTTCTCTAGCACGTTTTTCTGAAAATATTTAATAAAATTATTATTATTATTATTATTTAATTTTCTTGTATTATTTGAATTTGGAAATTTGAATAATTTATATAATTTTATTTACCTCTTGCCTCCATTCTCTGTCGCTTATTCTCTTCAATAGTTCCATCAAGCTTTGCAATAGCATCGGATTTTGTTTTAGCATACTGTATAACCTTTAAAAATATTATAAATAAATATAAATATTATAAATAAATATAAATATATAAATATATATATATAAGATTTAACCATCCAAAATATAAAATACTAAAATATATTATATCGAAAATAAATAAATAATAAATAAATAATATACCATGGGTTTTCCCTGTAATGCGAAACCTTGAACGCCCTTAATTGCACTAACAGCACTATCTTGTTCTTTAAATACCACAAAAGCCTGTCCACGCATTCTTAAAGTATGACGCGCAACAATTTCCAAAATTTCACCATACTGTTCGAAAATTGCCTGTAAAGCATTTTTTAAAGCTAATATGTAAAATAAAAATTTTAATTTATTAATTAAATAACCTTTAAATACTTTTTAAAATATTTTTTTTTTCAAATAGATCGTAAAACAAGAAATACCTGGAATCTTTATTTTTTCGTTTAAATTATTGATGTAGATCGTTTTATTAGGGGTTGTACACGGAGGTTGCTTGGGTACAGGTGGAAGTACTGGTGCAGTAATGTTAGGTATGCCTTGCGGAGGAACCCCATAAGCTGGCGGTGCTCCAAATACAGTATTAGGGTTTTGTGGTGGTGGTAATGTTGACATTGCTTTAAATCTATTGACAATGATTTTCTTTGTCCGAAGAGTTTTATACAAAAAGGGAAAAGGGTCCGTGAAACGTTACATTTTTTCGAGCTTGGAAATTTAATTTATTAATTTTAATTATTGATTATAATTTTTTTCATTAAAAAAAAAAAAATGTTAATTAAAACTTGTAGATTTGTAAATTCTTTAAAAAAACAGACCTATTTAATAAATTCATATTATAATAAATCTAATAGATATAACAAATGTAATACATATAATAATAAGGCTTTTATAACAACAAGTAATGAAAAACCGTTTCGTTTAGCTGTAATAGGTAGCGGGCCTGCAGGATTTTATACAGCATATCATATGTTGAAAAAATATCCAAATACCTTGTTAGACATGTATGAAGCTCTTCCGATACCTTTCGGTTTAGTTCGTTATGGAGTTGCTCCTGACCACCCAGAAGTCAAGGTATTTATATCATTATAAAAATTTTAAACAATAGTTCGAAATAATTAATTAATTAATTAATTAATTATATAATTAAGTAAACTTTCATTTAACAGAAGGTTCAACATAAATTTGATGAAGTTGCGCAAGATCCACGATTTACATTCATTGGTAATGTAAAATATGGTCAAGAACTTAAAATAACGGACTTAAGTGAACATTATGATGCAATGGTTTTTTCATATGGAGCGAGTCAAGATAAAACTCTTGGTATCAAAAATGAAGATTCATCTATTAAAAATATTTTTTCGGCACGTATATTCGTTGGTTGGTATAATGGTTTACCACAATATCGAAATTTAAAACCTGATCTTTTATATACTGATACAGCAATTATAATTGGTCATGGTAATGTGGCATTGGATGTAGCAAGAATATTATTAATGGATATTGATGAATTAAGTAAAACGGATATTACCGAATATGCTCTAGAAATTCTGAGGAAAAGTCGAATTCGGAATGTGATACTTGTAGGAAGGAGAGGACCTTTAGAGGTGTGTGTGTGTGTGTGTTTTTTTTGTTTATTATCATTTATTTTAAATTAGTAAAATAATATAATTATTGATTTTTTATTTTTTATTTTTATTTTTTTTTGTAATTCGGGATGATAGGTTTCATTTACGTCCAAAGAATTGCGTGAAATGATGAATTTACCAAATACGAGATTTCATACTGATTTTGAATTTTTGAAAACAGAACTGTCAACATATTCAGAATATATTTCTAGGAACCGTCCATTAAAGAGATTAATGCAAATTTTAGAAAGTAATAGAAATAATAATAATAATAATAATATCATAGGAGAAAAATCGTGGACACTTAAATTCTTAAGAAGTCCCATTGAATTTATAATGAAAGAAGATCAAAATGTTCATTCAATTAAATTTAATGTGAATAAACTTGAAGGACCGATAGGAAAACGAATTGCAATACCTACGGGAATTATAGAAGAGATAGAAACGGGATTGGTTATTAAAAGTCTTGGATATAAAAGTGTTCCATTGAATGGAGTTCCATTTGATGAAAAAAGAGGAATTGTACCTAATAAGGGAGGGAAAATATTGGATTTAGAAGGAAATGAAGTACCTGGACTTTATGTATCAGGATGGCTTAAAACTGGAGCACATGGAGTAATAGCGACAACAATGAATGATGCATTTGAAACTGCTGAAATGATCATATCAGATATTCAATCCAATAAACCCATGATTTCCCCAAAAAATACGGAAAATAAAGAAAATACAGAAAATATGAAATTAGGTTCAAAAGCAATTTTACCTATTCTTCATAATCGAGGAATTCGTACAGTTTCTTATCAAGACTGGAAGAAAATAGAAGAAAAGGAAGTTGAAGTAGGAAAACAAAGACATAAGCCAAGAGAGAAATTTGGAAGTGTTGAAGAAGTATTTAAAGTATTAGATAAATAATAATAATAATAATTATTATTATTATTTTATTGTATTGTAATGTTGAATATATATTTATTTTAGAATTTGTTGTAAAATATATTGTAAAATAGATTGCTATGTATAATAGGAATGAATTGTAGAAGATTTAATTTTTATAATTTTTATAATTTATAAAACTTATTTTAAAATAGAAGAATTCTTCCTTAAATGAATTACATGAATAAATGCAACAGGAATGAATATCATAAAAATACGAAATAATTGTAAAATAGATAAATTTATGTTTCAGGTTGTTTGAAAGTTCGCGTAGGGATATGAAAAAAATAATATATAGCAGATACGCAATTAGATAGCATATAGATAGCATATACATAACATAGAATTCAGATAATGTATATTCGGATAGCAGTTAATATATCGAATCAATAGCATATTCGTTTTAAGTGACATTTTTTTTTATAAAATACTTATTTTTAGTAAATAAATAAAATAAAAATTTATCTCAATATTTTTATTCCTGAAAACAAATTATAAGAAATAAATTTTAATTTTAACCCATGGACATTGTTTCGTTGTTTGTTTGTTATCCCCTAATTATATAATGTTTGTGTCAATTGATTAATTGGTTAGTTTGTTTGATTGTTATCCCTTAATTTCCCTTAATTGTAATACTTACACAATCACAAAGCTAACAATTAAAATTAGGAAATAAAAAAAAAATAAAAAAAAAATAGAAAAATATTATTCACATTGTTTAAATTGTTTTTATTGTTAATATTGTTGTTTTTTCATATATAACATTCTGGATGTAAACCTTGAGCTTAGTTGGGCTTAATATTTTTTTTTGATATTCTGTAACAAATTTTGATAAAATGTGATGAAATTTGGTTTGATAATTGAGTAATGTTAAGTAATGATATGTCTAAAAATTTATAAATTAAAAATCTTATTCTGTTACAAGTTTAAAAATTAGACGCGTTTTAAAAAGTTTAAGAAAAAGGTGACACAATGAAATACAATGGATAGGATCTTTATTTTAATTGGATATTTTCTCGATAAACATGATCGACCAATGAAAAGATTTAAAATTCATAGCACCACTAAAACCCAACAAAACGAATCATTCATTACACAAAGCGAACTATTATAACTTTTCAAACTTGACACATTTTAAAAAATCTCCGAAATCGCTAAAATCACAAATTTATTTAAAATCGAAATAAATATTTCTTTTTTTTATAAAATGGATAAATATCAGGTATTCATTTTGGTTATTGTATTTTTTTTTTTATTATTCGATATGTTTTTTTTGAAAATTTATTTGAATTTTTTGAATTATTCAAATTTTTCATTGAATTCTTATATTAATATATATCTCTTCCTATACAATTCATATACCAATTATATGTCAATTATGCATAAAAAATATACATATGTACACATATGAACAAATCATGTAACAAATATCAAAAATATATTCGTTGTGTGTGTCTGAACAGAAAATTGAAAAACTGGGAGAAGGTTTTACCACCTTTTAAGTGAATTCTTTATAAAACAATAGAGTTAATATTTTTTTTAAAAAAAATTTTGTAAAGATGATTGTGTACTAATCAATACCCGCACCGTTATATCAATATATATATATATATTTTCCACCACCACCACCACCACCATCGATATAATCACCAACCACCGAAATAAATTCGAAATAAATTCGAAATATTTATTCGAAATTTATTCAAAATATAATTCGAAATATTTATTCGAAATTTATTCAAAATATAATTCAAAATATAATTCAAAATATGATTTACCGCCAACATTTTGAATTATTACCCTATTGTTAATAATGATAATATAAAAAAATAATTATAAAATAATCCCAATAATAATGAACGAATGATGATGATAATAATAATAATAATAATAAGGAACATATGGCATTGTCTATAAAGCTCAAAATCGGGATACCAACGAAGTAGTTGCATTAAAACGTATAAGATTAGATAACGAAGAGGAAGGGGTAATTATTATAATAATAATTTAGATTTATAATGGAAATTATAGTCGAAATATATTTAATATATTTAAATATATTTTAAATATGATGGGGATCATTTTTAGGTTCCATGCACTGCAATACGCGAAATATCATTATTGAAAGAGTTGAAACATGCAAATATAGTGAGGTGATTTATTTTTTTTTTTTTTAGTGGAGATTAATTGTTAATTTTTTTTTTCGTATTTTGTTTTTCGTGTCGCGCGTTTTTTTTTTTTTATAATAATAAATTATTTTTTAATGATTATAATTATAATTATTTTTCAATTTTTTTTTAAAAAAGACTTTATGATGTCTTACATACAGAAAAGAAACTGACACTAGTATTTGAATATTTGGATTCAGATTTAAAAAAATTCTTAGATACTTATGGGGGAGATTTGGATGTTCTGACGATTAAGGTGTGTGCGTGCGTGCGTTTGTTTTAACCTATCATTTATTCTAGTTTATTAATCTATTCCGTTCTTTCATTCTTTCTATTTACATTTGAATTTTTTTTTTTTTTTAGCAATTAATGTATCAACTATTGAAAGGAATCGCATTTTGTCATGAACATCGGGTTTTACATAGGGTAAAACCAATCAGATTAATTAGAAACCAATTCGATTCATTAGATTTGGAATTTAAATTTATATATTTTTATTCTTTTGCTTATATAAATATTTTTTATAGGATCTTAAACCACAGAATTTATTAATTAATAAGGTAATAAATAATAATAATAATAATTATTATTATTATTATTATTATCATTATTATTATTATTATTATCATTATTGTATATTGTAATTTTGTAGAATATTTAAATTTATTTATTTTATTGTTATTTTATTTTTACATAATTTTTTATTGAGAAAAGAAAGGTGAATTAAAATTGGCCGATTTTGGTCTTGCGCGTGCTTTTGGAATTCCAGTACGAAGTTATTCACATGAGGTTAGTTATGTTATCTAATCAAACGAAAGCATTCATTATATTCACGTTTTATATATGCATTATTGATAATAATTGATAATAATTGATATAATTAATAATGATACAAAAAAATAAAAAAAGGTGGTAACGCTATGGTATCGTGCACCGGATGTTCTTATGGGATCACGGCAATATTCTACATCTATCGATGTATGGTCAGCTGGATGTATATTTGCAGGTTATTTGAATGACTTATTTTTAATTATTTTAATTAATTATTATTTTTTATTAATTATTTTATTAATTATTATTTTTATTATTCATTTTTTTTATTAATTATTTTTTTTTATTTTGTTATTAATTTTTAAATATTTAGAAATGGCATCCGGAAGACCTTTATTTCCGGGTAGCTCAATCAAGGATCAACTATTAAGAATATTTAAAGTTTTAGGAACTCCAACCGAAGATACGTGGCCTCGAGTTTCACAGTTACCGGAATACAAAGTACATTATATTATTTTATATATAATTTAATCCATTTTAATATATATATCAAATATATCTAATTTAATTTTGTCTTTAATTATTATTAGAGTGATGTCGCTATTTATTCTAAAATACCATTAGAATCTCTACTTCCGAAACTTGATGCTCACGGAATTGATTTATTAAGTGTGAGTTGTTAGATTTAAATATTATCTTTCAAATTATTTATAAATATTATTTAATATATTCAAATTATTTATATATTTTATATTATTTAACAGAAATTAATAGAATATCAACCAGAAAAACGTATTAATGCCGAAGATGCACTTAAACATTTATATTTTGAAGAAATTCGTAAAAAGGAAACATCACAACAACATCATTCACCTTCTGTGTAAATTATTATATCATTTTTTATAAATTTTTCATTTTCTTTGTATTTCCATTATTATTATTTCTCTTTTCTAAATCCCCCATTTTAATTCATTTTAATTCATTTTTTCACTTTTTTTTTTCTTTCCATTTCTTGCGTTTTATTTGTTTTTTCCCATCATTTTGATCCTTCATCATCTGTTCTCAATAATTATATGTCCATTACATCATTGTCATTATACCATTTAATTATGATATTACGATTTATATCCTTATTCCCATTATTCCTGTTATTCCCATTATTCCCATTATTCTCATTATTCCCATTATTTCCATTATTCCTTCCCACTTCATTCCTATTCCCTTTCTCACATCTCATATCTCTCACTTTCTTTGATCCCTTTGAAATTTCTCTTTTACGTTGTATTTCTTTATTCATCAGCAATAAGAAATAAGCAGTTGTTGGAATAAAGGAACTACAAAAAAAAATGGCATTGCAATAGTAAAATTGCATAAAAAAAACAGGAGCAAAAATAAGGAACAGCAATAAGAACAACAATTTTTGTTAATTTTTGTATACTAAAAATAATTCTTTTTTCAGTTATTTTAATTTTAAATGAAAAATACCTATTGAGTACATATTATTGTAAAGTTGATATAATTTAATATTATCTTATAAAATTAAAATTAAAATTAAAATTAAATTATTAAATTAAATTAAATAAATTGAAATATATTACTATTTTTTTTTTTATAAAAGATTTATATTTATATTATTATTAATTATATTAATTATTTTTAACTTTATAAATAATATTAATAAATTTAATTAAATTAATTTAAAATTCATAAAATCAATAGGTTCAATATTTGATTGATATTTGTGATATTTGTACAAATGATTTTAAATTTCATCACTTTTTCATTATATCACTTTTATATTATTTATATTATAGAATTTGAATTTAATATATACGTACTTTAAAAAAATCTTAATTAAAAAAGATAATCATTTTTGATAGGTGCTATTTTTACGCAATGAATAAAAGAGATATAAAGAAAACTCCGAAGAGCTTAAGCTCCAACACTCTTTCAATTCCATAAAGCATTTTTTAAATTCCATAATAAAGTAATTGTAAATACTATTAACAATAATTGCAATAATTATTGTAATAATAAAGTTGTTATCAACAAGCTTATTTGATAAAGTGAAAAAAAAAATGGAAACCGCCAAACCACAAGTATTAACCTCAACCGTTCACCTTTCTAAAACCCAAGACAAGGATAATAAACTTAAAAAAAAAGAATATCCGTTTTGGTTCGGAGGTAAAAATTATTTGTTTTAATAATTATTTATTTTTATTTTATTATTATTATTTATCGTTAATAATAATAATAATAATAATAATAATTACTTTTTATAGGTGCCGCATCATGTTTTGCCTGTTTAATTACCCATCCTTTGGATACAACTAAAGTTCGTTTGCAAACTGTTAAAGGTATTAACAAGACGGGAGCTGTAGGAATGATGATCAATATAATAAAGTTAGGGGGAATTGGAGGAATATATAGTGGTCTTTCCGCTAGTATTTTAAGACAAGCTACTTATTCTACTATGAGATTTGGAGTTTATGATAGATTACAAAACTATTTAACTAAAGAAGGAGAAAAACTTTCTTTTGTAAAGAAGATTTTCTGTGCATCAATAGGAGGGTGTGTAGGTGGAGCTTTTGGAAATCCCGCGGATGTTGTAATGGTGAGAATGCAAAATGATGCTGAATTACCACCAGAATTACGAAGGAATTATAAACATGCATTTGAAGGTCTTTATAGAATTACTAAAGAATCTGGAATTACTGGTCTTACTAGAGGAATTGGTCCAAATATGAATAGAGCTATTTTAATGTCATCTTCGCAAATAGCTACTTATGATCAATCTAAACAACTTTTATTGGAAACTGGAATATTTCATGATAATATTTTTACCCATTTGATTTCTAGTATGTTGGCGGTAAGAATTTTATTTTTTATTTTTTATTTTTTTTCGGTGTTTATTTCTCTCTCTTTCTCTTTTTTCTCTTTCTTCCTCTCTTTCTTATTTTTCTCTCTCTCCCACACATCATTTTTTTATAGGGGTTAGTCGCGACTACTATTTGTTCTCCTGTTGATGTTATCAAAACGCGTATTATGAATTCCGAGAAGAAGGTATTTTTCTTAGTCACATTATTTATTTATGATAATTTAATATATTCAATATAAATTATACTCATTACGTTACTCTCGCGTTCGTTCGTTTTAATTTTATAGTTGACTTTTTTTCCAATGTTAAAATCAATAATTACTACCGAAGGACTATTTGCATTATTTAAAGGATGGGTTCCATCATATGTGAGATTAGGACCACATACTGTCGCGACATTTTTGTTTTTAGAACAAATTCGGAGTTTATATGATAAACGAATCAAATCCAACTCATAAACATTTATCACTTTTGAATGATTTGATTATAATAGAATTTTAATTTTAATTTAAATTGGAAGAAGAAAAAAAAAATTATATAATAGTATTGTTTTTTTAATTAATTAATATTTTATTTATTATTATTATTAGGACGAAAAATAGATTTAATATAAAGATTTTGATTAATTCTCATTTGTACAAAAAAAAAGAGACAATATTTGTTATAGAAATTTCAACAAAGATTACATGGCATATAGTATAAAGGGTATAAATATATTAATAAAAATCAAATACTATCATGTGATTTTATGCTAAAGTTGGGTTGCAGTCGTAAACAAATTTTAAACACGTGATAGATTTTATCGTTCAACGCATTAATAAATTATTTTATGTGGGTTAATATTTTTACTTTCTATTCAAAGTTCTATAAACATTTACGCGTACGCGTTTTTAAGGTTTCTGTTGATGTTATATTAGGATCTGCATTTGACCATTAAAATTACAAATTACTAAATTCAGGAATTTGCCCCTGATCACTTTTTTTTTTTTTTTTTTTTTTTTTTTTTGAATCAATACCATAAATTAAACTTTTTTCACCAATCTTTCCTTGATTGTCGCCGCCAACAATTTCATGATTCATTTTGACCTCAATCTATAATTGTCCATCTACACTCTTTATACCTTATTATTATTAAGTGATTCAAAATTGAAAATAAAAGTGTTCAACCTACTATAGACAAAAGCGAAACGGCCAAGATAAATTTTCAGACGTTCACCACTAGTATGGATCCATATAAGGATTATTATATGGATCCAGAATTCGATCCTCGAAAAGCTAACATGTCTCGGTTAAGAGAAATACTCCTTGAGAATAGTGTCGGATATACTGGGGCCGAACGTAAAGCGGATCTGGTAGAAAAATTCGAGCTGGAGATTCGTCCAAAAATTCCTGCTCTCCAAAAAAGGGACAGGGATTTAGAAATATATAAGCAGAAGACTGTCGCGCAGCTTGAAAGGACTGCTGAAAAGAAGAAACTACAATTCGGGGAATTGCCGAAGGTATGCTTACGGTTTCGTTATCAGGTTTTTTTCAGATTATTATATTTATTGTTTTGTTTATAATTTATTTATAATTTAGTTTTTAATTCGTTAATTTGTTTCTAATATTTTATAAATTTTAATATTATTTAAATAGTTATCATCAACAAAATCCGGTCAAATAGCTCGTGGTCGCCGTAAAGGCAAAGAGAAAGAAAAGACTACGGATTATGTGACGACAACACCTGTTCAAGTTCCCCCCAATCACTCAGCAGTAGAGACACCTATTTCAAGTGAGCTAAATGAACTCCATTGGCATCTTAATAAAAAAGAAATCCCAGAGTCACCGCTCGCCAAATTTAGTTCAAGTAATCACATACCTCTTAATCGTAAATATAATGATCTTATCGAGGAGGATATAACAGAGTCATCAACAACAAATTTGTATCCGAAAATTGAAGATAATGTACATGTACCAAAATATGAACCCAACGTTAAAGATCCCAGCGTTAAAGAACTCAACGTTAAAGAGCCCAGCGTTAAAGGACTCAACGTTAAAGATACTACCAGTTCTATTCGGCGTGACGCTTTTGCCTACGCGTATCGAAATCCCAAACATACTCCACGTTACATGATTAGCCGCCTCGAAATACCTGAGTCTGCTTCACAACTCAAAACTCCATCACGGTCCTATAAATGCTGGTTTTTCTTAATTTTGCTTTTTTTGTCACCTTTCTTACCCTGGTTCATTAATTTCTTCGTACCCATGACAACTGAAGATGTTAGATTCTGTGATACTTCATTTAATAACATTAAATATGTTTCTAGTGATGGTATGTTTTAAGATATTATTTATTTTATTTTTTATACCTATTTTTCAATTATTTTAATCAAGTTTTTTTTATTATATACAGGGAGCGTTGTTGATTATAATTGTGTTTCTTGTCCATCTAATGGTCGATGTGTTGATGGAAAACTTGTCGCTTGCGATGAAGGATATAAAATCAATTCAACACCCGCTAGCTTGTTTCAACCATATAAAGCCGAATGTGTACTTGATATGAAGCACTTACATAGAGTTGAAAAATATGCTAATTTACTTAAAGAGATCGCTTCCAAGGAAACTGGAAGCATGAATTGTGGTAGTGGTGGATATGATCTTTTGTTATTTGACAACCTTAAACAGAAATTGCGAAATAAGAAATTAGTAAATATGAAGAATTTAATTAAATATTTTATTAATATCATTTATATTGCTTATTTTATTAAAAAAATTTTTTTTTGCACTTTTTCTAGCCTTCGCAAGATACTCCTATCGATTTCGATAGATATTCCGGACTTGCGCTAGATGAATTAAAACATGATGATGATATAAAAATTCAGAAGGAAAGAACGTAAGTAATTGGAATTTTTTTTTTTTGATGTGAAGTTTTATAATATGTAATTGAAATTATTAACTTCATTATTAAAATCATCTTGTTTATTATTTTTAGTTTCGATAATAAAGAAACCATTTATGTGATTTCTAAAATACCACAATATGGATTATTCTGTCGCATAAAACTTAATAGTGTAGAATTTCTTAAAGAAAATTATTATTACGCTTTTTGTAAGTTTTATATTTCTTGTATTTTTTTTTTTTTTCATTATATCTATCTCACACAAACATTACATATCCATTTTATAGATTTGATCGCTATTATTCTCGTTATATTTGTAATCATCATATATATTAATCGTAAAAGATGGGAATCCTATCATGTTGAGAAAGCTACTAAAATGGTTCTCAATATGATGAAGCAAAATCGTGATATTATTTCTGAACAATGGAGAGAATCTGTTATGAATGAAGTAGAAGATGATATGACCAGAATCATGTTATGGAAACGAGTTGAAGATCGTCTTCAGGAGAATCCATTAGTTAGAACACGAAGATTAGTTGATTATAAAGGTCTTAGTTCATTGCATTTCGATTGGGTTGGTGAAAATCATGCGATATTTTAAATATTTTTAGATATTTTAATATTTTTAATATTTAGTATTTAAAAGTTGTGGTTAATATTAATATTAATATTAGACATTTAGACATTTTGTAAATTAAGGTTGAGTGATATTTTTGATATATAATTGACAGATAAAGGAAAAAAAAATGAGCGACATGACTAGATAGTCAGTCATCATTATAACATTTAGATTTAGATTTATCTTAATAATATTTTTTTTTCCTTTTTTAATTCTTTGGGGGATTTCAATATCATATATCATAATATATTATTTCAAAGGACTTTAATTTGTATATAATTTTTTTTTTCTTTACATTTTTGCACCGCTATTTTACATTATTCAAAGCATTAAATTACGATATATTTGCATTAATATAAATCAAATAATAAAATTTGATTTTCTTTTTAGAAATAAAACAACACCTTAAAATAATAATATAATGTGTGATTTCGTGATCTTTTATTTGCAAATTAAAAAAAAAATAAAAATAAACAAAATAAATAATATCTTATAAAAAAACTATTAATGCTATATATATCAAAAAATGAATGGACTTTTTGAAATCTTTTATTAAATATTTTCAATAATTATATTTAAGATATTTTTGAGTAATACTAAACAATTCCAAGAAAAATGCTCTTATGAAAAAAAAACCATTTCTTTACATGGGATATGTTAAAATTAAAGTTAATAAAACTATGAAAATTATAACATTATAATTCAGGAGGTTTTTAATAAACCTTTATAGAATTACTAACCCGATATATTAATGTAATCTTTGACTTCTAATGATGGCCCAATATTTAGACCATATTCCCTCAAATCATTTTTTTTTTGGATTCATAAATTCATTATTGGTTGTATTATTTCTTCTTAGCATAGTAACATTAGAAATCGAGGTGCTTTTTTTTATTTCATAGTTCTCCATCAAGATTGCTATTTTTATTATTTCTTAGTAGAAACTTCATAACAGTTAGATTGAGTAGATTCTCAAAATATGAATCAAAATGCAAATGGCCAAAACTAAAATATTATTAGGGTGTTAGTATTACAAAATTTTTACTATCAATAAAAACAAATAATAAATTTTGAACTAACTTATTCACCTGTTTCTTTAAAACATGAATCTTCCTATTCTGAACAATTAAAAAACCAATTCTTTAGGTTTAGATCCTTTTATATTTCTAAAACGCCACCTACGAAAACGGATTGATCGGGAGGACAACAAAGTTTACATCGCTTCCTAAAATAAATATGAATTCAAGAAAAATGTAACTAATAATGTAAATTGGATTGGATTGGACATGACACGACAGGAAAGTTTCTATGGCTGATTCCTCCTCCAGAACCAGTAGACCTTCACCAAAGAAACTTTTGTAAAACAACATGAACGGCACAGAGTTCCTAACAAATATAAGATAACATACGTATTATTGTTGACATCTTGGAAAGAGTGATTTTTTTTCAATGTAGGTTTAGTTGAACCAAAAATTTGATTTGTTTTTATTACAACGAATATTTCTATTGGTTGAATTTGGCGCTGATCAACGTGACCCTCCATAATTTATTTTCATAATACGTAATCGGCACTATTTATCTACAGTAAAAAATAGAGTTTCGTACCGTAGAGGATATTATGGTCTTGGACTGAATGGCCTGTTGGAAGATTTGATTGATAATCTATCAGTGTTTGTTTTAATATAAAGAATAAAGTAAACTAGATATCACAAAAACAAAATAAATATTTTTCATTTATGATAAGCCTCCGTTATTAACAAAAAAATTGGTTCGAGTTAAAATTAGAATAACAAGTATATAGTAGTTTTTTTAGAGAAAATGATTAGTAATTAATTTAATTAATTCATATGAAATCAAATTTCTGAATGAAAATATTAGAAAATATTTAAAAAATACATCAAGTCTTTATATAGCAAGTGACTAACTAAGTTGTATACTCATTAATTAGATTTGATTCTCATACAAAGTTTTTTTTTATATCGAAGGTTATAACCATCATTTATTCTGTGCTGAATATCATAAACTTTTGTAATGCTAATAAAAATAACAACTACCGTATCCTACCGAGAATAAGCAGCACCAGTAATAATTTGAAATGATTTATATGTGATCAAAATTATTATTTATGATTTAAATATAATTTACTACCGAGAATAAGCACCACACTTGATTTCAGGTAACAAACGCCACATTGTTCTTTATTGCAAAAATCGAGTTTCAACTTTTCTACTATTTCAGGAACCTCTTCAATAACATCAGCATTATAATTAGTTATTTCTTCTCCTGTTACATTCAATGATTCTAACTTAATATTGTTTTTGGTTAAGAGCCTACATTCAAGAGCACTGGCCGTGCCATGATATATCTTGTGTGTAATATCCTCTAATATCCTCTAATATCCTCTAATATCCTCTACATTCTTTCTGCTAATTTCCTCTTGTATTTCTCATGAGCTTTCTCTAATTTTGTTGGCATTTGTAATTTTAATATTGCTTGAATGTTTGGTTGATAGTTATTAATAAATATTCAGGATCAGAATTTTTTAATTGTACCACGTATGTTTCTGAAATTTTTGAAGATAGGCTTTTCTTTGAAAAATGGTTTTTTTGAGATAATTAGAGTGGAAAGATGGGATAACGGTGAAAATTTTGTTTTATTCTCTTTATGATTCAAAATTTGAGGATCAAGTTCGAAGTGTTCCTTACTTTGCTTGTCGAAATCCTCAATTTTAGATTGAATTTGAACCATTTTGAGAGTGAAATAAATAAATAAATTCTTCTGCTAAAAAAAAGTGGATGAAAATGTGACAAAATTAAATGTTACACTACACTAAAAGCAGTAACAGTAATCGCAGTAATCGGAGTTGTTACAACGAAATGTTTTATACCAGTTTTAGACCTTTAATGTTATATATCAAAAATGAATGGATTTTTTTGAAATCTTTTATTAAATATCTTCGATATATACGAATATATTCAAAAAATCCATTTCTTTACATGGGATATATTAGATAATTGTTGTTTAAAATAGTAAAATAAAATAATTCTAAATTTATATGTTTAATCTTTTTTTCTCAAAAAAAAAATATGCGAATGAAACCTTGCTAAAAGCAAAATTCCGAAAATCACTAACAAATTTATTATCAATAGCTTGTTTTTTTGAATTAAAATAAAATTTCATTTTATTTATAATTAAACAGTCTGACCCCTCTATAGTCACACCTTTCATAAAAACCAACGCCTATTAAAAAACCTCTATAATTGTCATATCTCTAAATAGTCACGGTCCCGAAGGTTTGATTATATTTATTTCATTGAATTGTTCATTGTATCTGAGTACGTGCACGTCGACACGTGTGTAATACAACATCGATAAATACTTTTTTTAAATTTTTAAATTTTAAATTTTAACTTCCGAATTATCAGACGGACAAATAAGAATGAAAAATGATTAAATCAATTGATTTCTCTTTCAAAACTTTCGCAAAATAGTTAAAGATGTCAATCTATTATGGTTATGACTCTAGCTCGTCCAGTTCGTCCAGCTCGTCAAAAGTTGGCAGAATTAGCGGAATTAGCAGAGTTAAAAGAAAAGGTGTGTGATTTTTAACTTCGTATCAAATCCTTTAAGGGTAGATACTGACAGTACAATTTATTATAGAGAGCTCTATTACCTCCATTATTTCGAATAAAAGGTTATTGCAACTGATACTTCACATCTAATTTTAACTAGAGCCATTTCTTTGTAACGATAGCACTTTTGTTCATAAGCCTGATGAAATTTAACGAAGCTCTGCCGATTATGGTGGGAAGAGGACAACATACACCCGCAAGCCAAATGGGAAGAGGCCACGTGAGTTGTTCAAATGTTGACTTAATATTTATGAGCTAGTGACTCATGTAACCCAATTTTTGCTGATTACATCAAGACTTCCATACGTTCTTGCTGAAGGAATTATGAAGAACGCACGGACAAATTTAATCATGGGTCTTTGGGAATGGGTCAACTATAAAGTCATTATTTATGGACTTCCATTAAAGCATCACGAAACTTTTATTGGTTCGATCACTTCAGAAATAATGGAAAAGTGTTTTCCTGTTAAATGAACTGATGCCAGTATTATACATGCCGCCCAAACCCCAAATTATTTTTGGCATTTCGGCTGCCAAAATTCAGTTTTCATAGTATTTGGGATTTGGGATTTGGCATAATTTGGGATTTGGGATTTGGGATTTAACATTTTGAATTTGGGCGGCACCAATAGCCAGTATTGGGAGTCTTGGCGCAATTCGTAACTATTAATACACTAACTGTCTCAGCCTTACATTATAATATTAGATTAATCTTTGTTTTTCTTAAGGAACTCGTGCTGATAATTCAGGAAAAGAAGCTGATGCATGCTTTCGCTCTTCAAAACCACCAGTAAGACCACCAAGCGGGAGCGACGGAGAGGCACCTTCTATTTGTTATATCGGTTATGAACTTTTTAGCACTGAGGTTTTACATTTTCATGATTTCAGAATGAACCCTGGCCGGTGAAAAAGTATTGGTTAGGTAATATGAGTCGTGTTCATGATGCAATAGTCATCAAGATTGATACAGTTTCTAGTGGCGAAGTTCCTACACGCATGCAGGTAAATTATATTCCTAAGGTGCAAGTGGCAATTCAATGTTTATGTCATTCTATTCTAAAGAATTTAATCAATTGCAGGCTTGGCACTTTTACATCACAGACAAACAGTTAAGAACAAGAGATATCTCACATCGAACTTACGTAATGTCACAACAAACAAAAATATTTTTCTTTTTATCAATGTTTTCAACATAATGTTTTAATTGTTAGTTTGAATTTGGTACCCATAACGAATATGGAAATTCAACAAACATTCAACAAGGCCAATGCGTTATCAAAATTTCTCTGGATTGTTTGTATCATGATACAGATCCAATTGTATTGGATTTCTTGCTAATTCGAAATGAATTCCTCCGTATGTGTGAAACCAATTAATAGAAGTGATCAGAGGAATATCATGCGTTGCTTGACAAAATATATAATTCATTAAATTTTTTAACATCATGATAGTTCGTATTAAATAAACATACCTTTTTTCATATGGATATGAGCAATAATGGAGCAATTAGTACAGTTTTAAATATTTATTCTATTGGGTGATAGATATCGCAAATTAATAATTTAGAATATTGTAATAATATAATGTAATTTATCCAAACACTTAGCTGATGTTCTCTAGTCTTTGTTTTCGTGGAATAAATGAATTCTGGGTTTATTTCGTTATTTTATTTATACTTCTACAGATGCGAATTTGAGTTTTTTACCATTCGAATAATTACAGTCGAGATAATACCTATTTTTATATCGAAGCAAAAAAAAAATGCAATATAAGTTACAGGATATATATTAAACATTTATCCGCGATTTTAGATATTAAATTGTAGGAAAACGGAAACCATTGCAAGTCCGGAGCAAAAATTCTGATCTCTCATGACCAATTTATTTAACTTTTACAATTATACAATTAAATTCTTTATTCCTTTGAAATATGGTTAAGTTTTAATTTGGTTGAATTTATTTCAAATTGAATCAATGTATTTTAATCAATGTATCTTGATAATATATTATAATAATTAATCAATGTATAATCATGATATAGTAACAAATTTCATTTCAAATTTATTACATATATATAAAAACCAAATTTATTGTAAAAAATTACCCTTCGCCCTTCTTATATGTATATTTAAAATACGTAATATAATGACCGTCCAATTAAATTTGAGATCGTGATCGCGACCGATCGGTAAAGACAATATTTTATGTCCTAACGTATGTGCTGCTACACAATAGGCTGCGTAACTAATCAATTTAATCTTTATCTAAGCTTTAAATATTAGTTAATCAGTAAAGAATAAATTTTTTTGATTGTAAGCGACACTTTTATACTTATCTGTAACTTTTCCAAAAAAAAAAAAAACAGTAATAAAATGAATAATCAAAACGTTTCTCATGATGCCCAAAGAAAACGGAAAAGAAGAAGATACGAAATATCTGATCAATGCGAAGAAAGACTCACTCTGGATCGTGAAAGGAAACGCGAAAAAAGAGCGCGTACAGTGGACGAAAACGCTAAAGACGAGAACATCTTTAACATAGATAATTGATGATCGTCTAATCATATTTGCACAGTAATTTCACTATTTTTTCCTTTTTAGTAAAATTAAATTTATAACACACATCATAGAACAATGATCAATTCTTATGATAATCTAACTTTATAATTATCATTATGTATTGTGTACTAAACTTTTTATAGTTGATTGTTTACATATTTGTTAAGTTTATGAATGCTCACAAAGAATAATATTGTTCCCAATTTCGAATATAATCAGTTTCGTTTTTCTATGGATTTAGAAATTGCTTTGTTTTTTTTTTTCATTGATACAAAACATCAACTCAACTCCATTTATTTTGTACGATGTATGACCATTCTTAATCTTTACACAACGCGTTAATGTATACGCGATTTCTGATAAAAACATCCATATTTCCATATTTGTACCCCATTTGTGAATTTTTCTAATAAAAAATTTCCATCTAGATTAAGAGTCTTTTTCAATTTTTTTTATTTCGTTTTGTTCTCTTTAAAATATTAATAAGTTTGAAATTTTAAGCGCATCCATTATGTCCCTAAAATAAATAATTGTGATACTTTTAAACCATGGTTAGAGAAATATTTGAAGTGACTACTGAAGTCATAGACGGTTTTAGTTCCTTGGATAATACCAATCCCACTCTAAAAATTTTGAAAACAGCTGCGCATACTGCTTCCCCTATTTTTCCTGTAATTGATATAGTTTTGACTTTAATCGATGAAATTGTTAATATTTACAATACCGCTCAACATAATACAAAAATTTGTAGTTCCCTAGTGGATCGTGTTCAACGCGCAGAATATGCTGTAAAGGTCTTAAAACGTCGACTCGATGATAAAAAATACAATACTCAAGTTTATTATCAATCATTTATACATTTTAAAAATATTTTGGATAAAATCAAAAACTATTCGGCGGATATGACTCAACTTCGAGGAATTAAAAAATATAAAAATGCATATTTAATGCGAGACAAATTTATAAAGCTCACCGAAGAATTTGAGAGATGTATGCAAGATTTAAATTTTACTTTATTGGTGTCCGATGAGGAACAAAGGAAATATGATGAAATTGCCTTAAACCAAGACATTGCCGATCTGGCTCAGGTAAATAATCATTTTATTTTATGTAAATTTATAATTTTTTATTTTTATTTTTTAATTTTAATTTTAATTTTTTTTTTTTATATTTTATAGTATTTAAAAAGCATAGATTCTGAAATACAAGACATGAACTTAACTTTGCAAGAGATTTTGCAAGAAAAAAAAACTACAGATTTAAGTTTTGAGCCAAAGAAAATTGACGTATCAGAACTGACGGATCCATTTGTACCTGAGAGTGATGATTATCGTGGTAATCTAAATTCATCGACAATCAAGAAAAAAAAATGGAAACTTTCTGTGGACGTAGCTTGTAAACCTGTTAAAATAAATTCTCCAGAGTTAAAGGGTTTTTCTTTATACAAGCACTTTTCATCAAATTCTCGTTCTTCAGAAATTTCATCCGAAGAACTTAAAAAACTTGAATCCCAATTAAAAATTTTAGAAAAATTAGGAGAATGTAAACATATTATAAAATTCCATGGTATCTCATATGTGCACAATTGTGACGTGCAAGTCTTTGAATGGACGGAATTGGGTAATCTTAAAGAGGTCTACGAAAACAAGATTATCCCTTGGGGTGCCAAAGTTCAAATAGCGCGTGATATTGGTAGAGGTATTGCATTCTTGGCTTCTACTCAAATTTTTCATCATGACTTAAGATGCAAAAATGTTATGGTGAGTATTGTTTATAAAACGCAACGGCTTAATATAATGTGATGATGATTTTTAACTTTTTGATAGTTGACTGAACGACTTGAACCTAAATTGGCAAACTTTGAATTATCGCGTATGGAAATTGGTATTTCAAAAAATATTGGAGAATCATTAATAGAAGTAATAAATTGGATGTCTCCGGAAAAAATGAATGATTTTCCATACACTTATAAATGTGAAATATTTAGGTATGGATATAATTTAATGAACGTAATAAAAAATATTTTAAAATTAAACATGACAAAAATTTTTTTTTTATTTATTTCTAGTTTCGGAATGTTGCTTTGGGAACTTTGTTTCGAAAAGAAGCCATATGCTAACAAGAATGATCCATCTCAAGTCATGAAACATGTGAAGGGTGGTGGTAGAGAACATCTTAGATTCGTACCAGGTAAAGAACCGGAGGATTCTGAGATTCAAAAAGAATTCGCGGACATTATTAGTCAAGGTGAGTACGTTAAAAATTGGGAGATAAATTATTTTTAATATTTTATTAATATAAATTAATATACGATAATTCAGCGTGGCATGATAATCCATCACAACGACCTAATATTATTCCACTATGCATAAGACTAGAGACTCTCGCTTCCAAATACATAAAAACTGGTACTTCCTTTGAACTTTTACACAAAGAACCATTGACACAAACTCAAATTTATTACTCAGGTGAAGATTTTGAAGATTTTGAAGATTGTGAACTTGAAACCATAGAAGCAATAATGTCAGTGGAAGAAGGCAAAAAACTTTTTAAAAGCGAAAAAGATGAAGATAAAGCAGCAGCATGGAAGTGTTTTGAGGCAAACGCTGAACTCGGAGATGTAGAAGCTATATATTACAAAGGATCTTGTTATGATAAAGGAATTGCGGTGGAAAAAGATGATGTCAAAGCCATGGAATTCTTTAAAATTGCAGCGGATGAAGGGCACCCAGATGCCCAATTAAAATACGCGTTTAAAATATATGCTCAGAAAAAAATTAAAGATTTCCTTGAATATTTAACGAAATCTGCACATAACGGAAATCCTACAGCATTATTTAATTTAGGATTAATTAAAATAAGTGGAAATTATAAAGTTAAGAAAGATAAGGAACTGGGAATTAGATATATAAAACTTGCGGCAAAAGAGGGACAACCGAAAGCTGTTGAGAAATTGAAAGAATTTGAAAATAAAAATTAAAAAAAAAAAAGATTTTAGATGTTTTTATTATTTTTTAGTTTTTTTTTTCACTATACAGAGGTTCTTATATTACGTGGCTTTTCTTAAAGATGTGACTGTATAATTATTTATTTTTTATTTTTTTATTTAAAGCATGTTATTAAATATCGAAATAATTTTTTCTATTCATTATTCAAAATATTTTTATGTAAATTTTCTAATCTACCAAAATAAAAAATAAAATAAAATAAAACTATATTACAGAATGAATTAATTTTACAGAATATTAATTAGAATCATAACTAAATTCTATGCTGGTTTCTTCCGAATCTTCCGAAAATTCATTCATGGTTTCATCATCATTTTCGTTTAAATTTTCCTCATCACTTTTATCATCAAATTCCATTTCCCCATTATATAAAATCTCATTTATAATAAAGGTTTTTTGTTCATTTTCATTTATTTTAATTTCATCTAATCTCGGATTATAAATTTCGTTGATATTATCCCCAAAAAATGTAAACAATTCTATTGTGTATTCTGGAATATCTGCGTCTATTGAAAGAGTTACAGCCTTCTTGGTTTGATGCTCATTCTTTAGATTATTTTTATGGTATAATTCAAGACAAGATCTCATGGATTCCAATGACTCAAATATTGTTACATCATAAGCTATTCGATTAGATAATCGAATTAGAAGTGGATGTAATTGACGATTTAAGATTAATGATGTGAAATGTATGTCCAGAATTAATGCAAAAAAATCTATAATCTATATTTCAAAAATAAAAAAGAAAGATATAAGTTATTATGGATTGAAATAATTTATGAAACATTTAAAAAATCAAATAAATCAAATTCTTACCTTCTGGAAATTTGAATTTCCTTTTCGTTTGGTGGTGATAGTAGTAAGATCATTTTGCTTACTAATAGGTTCAAATGTAATATCTGCACGATCATGTTTCTCAATCCAATCACATAATTTTTTCAACGTAACAAGTAATTCACCTTCTGTCAATTCTCGTAAACTCCATCTCATCATATTATCATTTCGTGGTGACTCGATAATCAATAAAAGCATTTTTGTTATAGATAATCCTTTTTTTTTATTTTGGTCATTTGATACATTTGAAATTAAGTATTTAAGGAGATATATAAGATCTTTTTCAGGTATATCAGGAACATTAACAAGTGCTAATTGAAGCAAATCCTAAATTTTCATGAAGTGTGAAAGTTGTAAGTAATTAATGAGATATATATTGATATAAATATTATTTTAATTAATAATTATTTGAAATGCCTACCCACTCCTCTCTATCCATTAAAGTTTTGACGATTCCACCTTTTACAATACTATTGGATATCATGTTATTTTGAATAAAGTATTGAATAACTTCTGGTACCCAAAATTTCATGTTTGGTTTACCATCTGAATTTTGTGAAATACAATAATCCACAATTTTTTGAATAAAATTATATGATAATTCTGGTTTTATTTTTTCACCTGACTAAATATTTTATAATAAGAAAAAGATATCATAAAAAATATTGTTACTTTTTTTTTTTTGAATAAATATAATAAATATAAAATAAAAATATGGTTAAAATCTTACTTTAATAAATTCATATAATTTTCGTTCAGTATGTTTTGATTTAATTTCTTCTTCCTCATTGGTTTTCATTTCTTTCCATAATTCCTGCCATAATTGTAAGTTCACTTCTTCATGATCTTCAGAATCATTATTCTCTTTTTTCGATGATTCTTTTCTTCGAACACGTTTAGATTTTAATAAAGGGACTAAATTGTTCTTCCAATAATCTTTCTCGAATTCTTTATACTTGTCAATATTTGTTAGACCTATTTTTTTCAGAAAAGATTTAAAATCTTCCCAACTTTTATTACGTACGTATTTATTAAATGATTGCGAAAATTTTTCAGGAGTTGAGGTTCTTTCTGCATTTAAAAGTTTTTTGAGAAAGTTCGATTCGTATTTTCGTAAATATCTCATATTTTTAATTAAATCATTTACGACGGGTTTTTCTATCTATTTTAGATAATATAAAAATTATAAATAATTCAATTAAAATTCAAATAAAATTTAATATAATTATATTTAATCACTAAAACAATTAAAATATTAATAATACAAACTTTTTCTAGAACATGGTGAAATCCAAATTTTATAATACCGAAACCTTTTTCATCTCCTTCACCTAAATTCAAATATTCGGAAGTACTATTCATGCGATTCAATGCACTCAACAAAGTCATGGGTTCATGATTATATCGATAAAGAAAACTTGATAATTTAAAAGAATTCGATTTTCCTGGAATCATTTTACTAAACGAGACCAATATCAAATTATGTTTAGGTTCGACGATAAGCTAATAATTATAGAAAAACAAATAAATAAATATTTATAAAAAATAATTTCTTAAACCATTTATTTTATTATTGTTATTATTTGTACAAACCTGAAATTGATAAGGTGAAATAGATGTAACATTTTTTTGATCTTTTAAATTTGACTTGACAAAATGTTCGGCTTGTATTGTTCCATATTGTATATCCCATATGGTTAATACTTGATCGACTTTAAAAAATTAAAATAATTTAAAATATATTTAGATATTATTAATTTAATTTAAATTAGAAAAATTTGATAATTTTCTTTTTTTCTTTTTACTTGATTCAGAAGTTTTCTTCATTCCCACGAGTGCTAAATATGATTCAGAAAGTGGTGCAATTTCGACGACATGACTTTCTTGAATTTTTTCATTTGATATTTTAGAGAACGGTAGAATTCCATCCAATCTAATGATCGAATTTTCTAATAATGAAATCTTGGTATTATTTTTTTTAAAGATTAAGTTGATTGTACAAATTTTCAAAACACCATTGTTGTCTAATATAATATTTCATATATTAAATATATTAGATATGTTAAATATGTTAGTTACTCTTATTCTACTATATAATAATATTAATAATATAGATTAATAATTATAATAATTAATTATATTAATTAATTTACCTAGTAAAAATAATTTTCCAGTTAATGGATTAAAATTAGATGTTGTAGGAATTTCCTACAATAAAATATTAAAAAAAATTATTATTAAAATTATTGAAAAAAAAAAAAATCAAAAAAAAAAAATAACAGAATGACAGAATGTTATAGAATTACCGTTTTGAGAGTAAGAGTACAAAGAATGTTACAGTCATTTGATATTTGAGTATCAATCCAAAAGAAGTTCAACTTTAAAAGCTTTGGATGAACAGAATCAGAATTCTCTTCTGTTATTGATAATAATGTGAAAATAATTATTGATGTTTCTGATAAAGTATTAAAAGGAATGAAGGAACCCTTTGCGTTGAATACAGTTGCCAGATAAACTTTATTTCTATTAGATTATATTATTTATATATCATGAAAAAAAAAAAATAAAGGTAAAAATTTTTAATCATGAAAGAACTTGACAAAAAAGAAAAATTCCAAAAAAATATTTACTTTTTGGAACCTGGAAAATGACAAAATGATTTCATAAGCTTTAGATTCTTATCCATTATTGAAACAGATCCACCTTGATTTATTAAAATAATTCTTTTCGGAAGGAGTGGTGATATTTCAAGTGAAAATATCGGTCTCTCAAACCTTCCAACCTTTCATCAATAAAATTAAATAAATAAATAAAAAAATTTTATCTAAAATAATAATAATAATAATAATAATGAATATTGTAAAAATGTATATACTTTTTTTACTGTCTCTGAATTATCATTAGAGCCTACTATATTATTCTTAGGAAGAACACTTTTCCATAGCCAAACTACATTGTCTATGTTTTCTGGTGTATCATTGTGAATAATACTATATACTAAACATTTCCCTTTGTTTATTATACATTTCGCTGGTGAAGTCAAGATGTACTTTGGTGGAATAGGCCAATTCAGCAACTGAAGTCCATTTACCTGAAATTAAAAATTCATTGATTTCGTTGATCTCAAGAATAAACGTAAATTCAAATATTGAAAATGAAATATTTACGTTATATAACGATATACCTATTCCTTGATGAGTGATAAGAATTTTTTCAGTTAATTTGTTTTTCTTATTATCCTCCAGATCACTAGAAGAAGAATTTTCATCACATTCGTCGTCTTTTAATGATTCTTTGATTTCGCTCAACTCTCCGTTTCCATCAATTCCTTTACCATTACTGAAAGAATTACTAATTAATTGTGCCTTTTCTTCAAGTTCTATAGGTATAGTAATACCAATTTTGAATAAATTATTTTGGTTTTCAATAGTGGTAATTTTTGTATCAACTTCAAATGGTTCGTGTAAAGTCACAGCCATGGTTCTTTGATGATTATAATTGAAAACCGAATTTTTAATTTTTTTCGATTATCTTACCACGTGACTTTCATAATCTAAAATCACAGTAGTGGAACCACGAATAAAAAAAAAAAATAATAAAACAGCATAGGGATAGTTTGTTTTTATTGGCCGGTATGATCAACAATCTCGTGATTGACATGATGATCAAAATTTCGAT